ACAGTAAAATCCAAAAGAGGGGAATAGGAGGGGAAAAATATGAACGTAAGGGGAATAACGAACTAAAGGGAAAATATAACGTGTATGAAAGCGAAAACCACAGATTTGAAAATAATGTGCAATTTCGATTTTAATTATATCCTAAAATAATAAAGGCATTAGGGACGAAATAATCTATAATGATTTTCCATAATTGCTGTTGATAGGTATAATAAATATGTAATAACAGTGGTTGAAATGATGGTATTATTGAGCTTCTACTCTTGCTGAAAAAATCGTCATACAGAGAGCTTAATTTTTATTATTGTCAATCATTAATCTTATTATTGATGTTAGTGAAGTTGCTGCTGTTGTTTATTCGTGGTGTTACTGTTATTATCATCAACATTGCATCATTATTTTTTAACAATACCACTATTTCTGTTACTATTAAAACAAGTTTTACTATTAATGATGTTGTCAAAGATATTCCCAAAACACAGGAAAGTCAGAAAGATAAAGTTTAAGTGAAAATATATTGTTTAAGTGAGCATTATGACAATATTCAAGCAAAGCCATGGAAGGAAAATATAAACAATGAAAATACGAATAAAGATAGGAACAAGTGAAATTAGAAATAAAGATAAAAGAAATAATGATAAAGATGATGATAATGATGACGATAATGATGCTGGTAATAATAATGCTAATAATGTCAATAATGATAATGATAATTATTATATCGTTATTACTGATCGTTATTGTTACTACTGTTATTACTATTTCTGTCATCTTCATCCTCATCATCATCTATTACACTAATATTTTTATCATTATCACTATGATAACAACGAATGAATAGATAAATAAATGATTAAATAAACAGATAAAAACATAAATAAACAGGCAGCAACAACAATGAAACAAACTCAACAGAAGCCATATGCATTCTGTCGATCTTTGCATATATTTATAATAACAGCAATAGTTCCTGCAGAGTTTAGTTGCAGTTCCCGATCACATAGCAGACTCCAGGGGGCACTAGACTGATATTGAAAGCCGTAGTTAGCGTGATAACATCCGTAAATCGCCAGTCTCTTGACAGTTTTCAGTCCACTGTGTAAAATATGATTGCTTTTGGGAAATGAGGACTTTGCTTATTTGTTATTGTTATTTTTCTTTGTTATGGTTGTTGTTGCTGTTCTTCTTTTCGTTGTTGTTGTTGTTATTGTTATTATTATCATTATTATTATTATTATTATTATTATTATTATCATTATTATTATTATTATCATTACTATCATTATTTATTATTATTATTATTATTATCATTATTATTATCATTATTATTATCATTATTATTATTGGTATTGCTATTGTTACAATCTTTATCATTATCTTTATCATCATTATAATTATCCCTATTATTTTGATTCTCATTTCTTTTATTACTATTATTGTCATTATCATTATCATTATTATTATTATTATTAGTAGTAGTAGTAGTAGTAGTAGTAGTATCATCATTATTATTATTATTATCATTATCATTGTTATTATTGTAATTATCTTTATTATTATTACCATTACTATCATCATCATCCTTATCATCATCATAATTCATGATAACAAACGCCGTCTTCATTACACTTAGCACCATCCTCCTCATTACAACGATGGCCTCTGTGTCACTTTCCTCCAGGATGAAATACCTTTAACGCGTAATGTACGGAGGCCCCTTGTCATATTTACGTCATATACCCTCATTCTATGCCTTTTTTTTGGGGGGGAGAGGTGGAGGGGGAGGGGGGCTTTATCCTGTATCATAATCCATCTCCATCTTTACTCTTTTATCCCTGCTATAGCCTCCTCCCCTCCCCTCCCCCCCCCCCCCAACCCCTCTTCCCACGCCCTTACGCCCAGCTCTTGTGCCAACCCTCTTCTGGCCATTGTCTTTTGACGTGCTAAAAAAAAAAGAAAAAGGAAAAAAAAAAGAAAAAGAAAAAAGAAAAAAAGAAAAAAAAATATATAAGGGGAGGTGGGACACTTGGATGAAGAGCAGCAACGACCTTTAGACTTGAACTGCCTCGTCCCTCTTGTTCCCTTGTCGGTCTTTGTACTCTCTCTCTCTGCTTCCCTCATTTACCGTTGTTTCTTTCTCTCCCTTCTCTTCTTCCATCTCCTCTTCTTACGTGTCTCCGGGTCGTTTTCATATTCCTCGTTGCTGGTTCTTCCTTCTTATTTTTTTGTTTTTTCTTCGTCTCGGTCTCTTATTTTCTTCTCTTTCTCTCCTCCTCCTCCTTTTTTCGTCCCATTTTTCCATCTTCCTCCTCTTTCTCTCCTACTCCTACTACTCGTTTCGTTCTCACCTTTTCCTCCTCCTCCTACTCCTCCTGCTCGTCCTCCTTCACCTTCTCCTCCTTCTCCTCTCCAGTCTCCCCCTCCTCCTCCTCGTCTTCTTCTTCCTTCTCCTATTCCTCCTACGCTGCCTGTTTTTCCTCCTCCTCCTCCTCCTCCTCCT